TACCCATTCACAGGTAAATGCTCCAGTATCATACTACTTCTTACTCTTACCTCTCTGGCCCAACTAATTTAAATTCTTTTTCCATGCAGTAGCACCACTTCCCCAGGAGAATGGTAAGCATTCCCACCTCAGAGAAGACTGTAGATCAGTGCCTGGGACACTCTCTAGGTTGTGGGAGACAAATTCAGTCACTTTAGATCAAGCAGAAAAACGAACTACATTCCTTACTTTCCTGGCAAGAAAATATTAAACATTTTGGAAAAAGGAACTACCAAAAACCATTAAATTATACAATGCTCCATGTACTCTGATCACTAAAAATTCAACGAGGACAACTGCAAATGTTATATGTAATAGTTCAGGGATCACTAATTGGTAGCTGCTTTACAAAGAAAAACTCTTGGGCAATCTGAAGTATGGCTTCAAAGATGAAAATAATCCTCTCCCTTCTAACAGTAAAACTAAGGATTAAACTTAAAACACAGGTCTCTCCTCTCTGTGCCCCAGTGACTTAAGAGGGCTTCTGTTCACTTTTTTGTTTTATGATCCTGTCGAGAAGTGCCTGGTGCTCCCCAAGATTGCACAGAAAACAGACATTCAACCTGGTGCTCTGGATTCTGCTCCACAGGAGGAGTCTGCTCAAGTCCTTTCACATATCTGAATTTAGCTTCACAAGCATTTAACAGTTAACAGCTCACCAAGATACTTACCTGTTCTTCCCTTTTCTGTTTCCGAAGCTGGATTCCTTCTTCCTCTCTTCGTCTGCGCATTTCTTGGGGATTAAGTGCGTTATTCTTGTAGCTTTTCATTCTGAAGTTATCTTTACCCGGGCTTGCCATGTTGTCTATTAAAAAAAGAAAAGTTACTCCAAAAGGCCAAACCTTCTGAGGCAAACATGCCATCTCTTGCACTACAGAAGTATCTGAGGCAGCAGCTATATATTCCTATAGCTGCTTCCAATACCCAGTTCATTAACAACAATCTCTAAGGTAGAAATCAGAGAAAAATCTTTGCCTAGATAGGCAGTTCTAAACTGCAGATTAAACTACAGACCATCTCAGCGACCAGATAATTCATTAAAGGGCATAAGCTACTGTAAAAAGAAGTTATAGGTCTTATGAGAAAACTGAGAAACAAAAAGCAAAATTTTGATTCTCTCAGCAAGTAAAGGAATTTGCTTCCTCCTCTCATGAAGGAGACATTAAATGTATTAAAAAATAAGGACAAATCCAAGAAGAAAACCTGCAGTAATTACTGCTTCATTTAATATCTTCCTGCATTGTTTCCTTTTTTTTTTCTTTAAAGATGCCTATCTCGCAAACATAACGCAGGATCTAAAGGTTATGCTGCGTTTCCTTCTAAACTGTATGCAGAAAAAACTCTGCAGAGAAACAAAGTAAGGGTCAGTAGCACCCAGACAGGTATAGTCTTTTCCATTTTAAACTAACAAAATGATTGACCCATTCTAATTAACAGCTCTTTTGATGTTAGAGGATTAGAATCTGTCTGTCATTTCAGGCATATCAGTTGTGAAAAGATAAAAGTGATAAAACACGATTCTGTCACTGAAATGATCAAACTGACTGAAAAAGGTTGTTAATAGCATGGTGCTAGTTTTTAAAGCTAAAACTGTAGCCTTCATCTAAGAAATAACTGTCAAAAATATGATTTAAGACTCTACAGGAACTCTCACTTGTCTGAAATTCTTCTACAACAAGAAAACATACATAAGAATATCTGAACTCCAGCTCTTGAGCTGCACACAGTTCTCTATCGACTTCCATGCTGGGACTTTATTTTTTTTTTATCAGCATAAAGTCCCACGGACTGCTGAGCGATAAACACAAGCTATGAGAGGAAAACAGTCCGCAGACTTCGGCTGACATCAACAAGACACTCTGAGGACTCAGCAGCCTGTTTCACCCAAACACATTTGCTTCACAAGGGCGTCAGTAAACTCCTGCCATCTCTGGACCACGGTGCTAAGTGTGCCACCATCTAAAGCAATTTTCTAGTAATTGTCATATAACTTTTAAGATACAATTTAAGAAGATCATTTTCCCAACAACACTGCTGGCTTAACTAGCCCTAGAACATCCTCACTTCCTTAATCACTCATGCCTTGCTAATTTAGTTGCACCAATAAAACTGTCAGGCCAAGCAATGAACCAAACGAGAAGCGTGCATTAGAGTAACCCAGTCTAGGCCACCGGCTCAATAAAGAGTTACAGAAGCACAACTGGGAGGAAGCTCTCATCAAAACTGTTTTCAGGAAGAAAACCTTGTAAGTTTATAGCTTCATTCCCCCGAGGGTTTTGGTATAGACATCATAAGGGCAAAGAGACTGGCAGTCCCTGATCTATTCAGGCTTCACGACTTCTCCATCTAGATCCAAGGAAGTCTGCACTTCTGCTCTGCAAAACTACGCTCGTTTTAACACTAAATCCCTCTTCCCACCACATCCTGCATCTCACCCACTTGTTGTGCCTAGAGTGAGACCTACCCTAGTAATAGGGTTTTTTTTTCCTGCCTGCCTACATAAGGCTCCCTAAATACCGCGCCTCGCTGCACCACCGCCCCCTCCCCGACTGGCAGCGCCCGGGGGGGCCGCGCGGGCTTCCAGACGCGGCCCGCAGGCTTCGCACCGGCCAAAACCCTGGCGCAGGGCCGGGCCGCGCCGCAAGTCCCCTTGCCGGCTGCCCGGCCGAGAGGACGCCTACCCCGGCCACAAGGAGCGACCAGCGAGGCTCTTCACCCGCGTCCCCTGAAGAG